TTTTCTTTTTAATTTTTATTTATATAAATTAGAATATTTAATACAATAATAAATAATAATCAATTTATCAGGTACTTAAATTAAATTTATTGATTAAATAAGATTTTATAATCATGATGTCCCTAAAAAAGAGAATGTATAAAATGTTTTAAATTAATACATATATAACTAATGACAATTACATTTAGCAATAAGAATACTTATACATTTATGATTATGCTATTAAAATTTTACATAAAATTATAGTTACAGTATATTATTAAAATTATTTTAAGACTATATACAATGGATACTTATTGCATAGAATAGTGAGCTAGTATCGAAAAATTAATAGCAATTAATAATAATTAAATTGAATTCAATGATTGAATAAGATTTTATAATCATGTCCCTAAAATAAGAATGTGTAAAATATCTTAAGTAAATATATTTATAACTAATGACAGCTATATTAAGAAATAAAAATACTTATAAACTTAATATTATGCTATTAAAATTGTACTTTAAATTATAGTTATAGTACTTTATTCAAATTTTAAACAACTATACAATAAGGATACTAATTGCATAGAATAGTGTGTTAATATCGAACACTAACGTCTTGATCGAAATCGGTTCAAGCAGGCGTGTAAACCTTCAAAACTTATCGAAGGATCATTTTCAGCTTTAAGTTCGCTTTCATTATTTTCCATCTAAAAAAATAAAATTTGTATTACATTATTTTTAAAAGTGTTTGATTTAATTTATACAACTAACATAAGTATAATATAGAATGATAATGATTTATCATATCAGCAAATTAAACATTAATGAAGAGAAAATAATAATTGATTACAATTTATAGGTAATAAATTATTATTATTTAGTATTTGAGGACCTTTTATTTAAATTTCAACATTAAAATGATTTTTTTGTAATTCCTTAACGAGATAAGTGAATATACAAAAATTAGCCGTTAGATGGCAGTTGTGATATTATTACGTTGCCATCAGATATTCGCAAATAAAATTTTCAAATGCGTTTTGTGTGTTTTTCGTGTTATGTCATTGTTGTAGCAAACAAGCGAAATGTATGTCTAAAATAGTATCGACACATATATACGTTATTTTAGGTATACTTCACTTTAAACATCTGTAGTAAAGACGTATAATTACGTATGAATCTCAATTAAATTTTAATATATGCTGCTATCTATTGGCTATTATATACAACTTAAAAAGTTGTTACTTATGTTGATGTATTCATCAATCCTAATATTTTTTAAGTATAAGGTTGCCTATACTCTTAGGAGCATTATATCATTATCAATACATTCACAGTTCCCTCGTAAACATAATAATGTTTTGATAGCGGATTCGTAACATAATACTCTAGATTGAAATTTTTTTTGATTAGGAAAAGATTTATTTGTTTATATTATATAGCAGGGGTGGCCAACATGACTATGTACGCGAGCCACATGTATTAATAAAATTATATCAAGAGCCAAATTATCTAATGTGTACTTTTATACCACAAAAGTAATAAAGATAGCAAACAGCCTATAAACATATCAAATTACGAAATATGAAATTATATCGTTTTTAATATAGTCTGTAGTCTGTGTTGAATAGTCCTATTGTAAACACCTCAATTTGTTTTGTAAAATATTTGTAATATTTAATAATTATATTTGTAATATTTTACCGATACTTATTGCGAAAGTTAGTTACGATGTCAATTTCTAATAAAGCGGTTAAACGTAAATATGAAGAAGAAAAACGGGAATTTAAATTAGAATGGGAAGAACTATACTTTTTCATACAGAAAAACGATAAACCATTTTGTGTCATATGTCAAGTTACATTATCACAATTTAAGGTTAGTAATTTAAAACGGCATTACGAAACCAATCACAGCACATTTAGTCGAGAATTTCCTATTGGTTCTGATTCGAGGAAAAATAAGCTATGTTCGATGAAATTAAAATTTGCTAAACAAACTAATGTTATGACAATGTTTACGAACGAGGCAGACGACTGTGTAGAAGCAAGTTTTGTAATTGCCTTTAATATTGCTCAAGCAAAACGTCCGTATACGGACGGCGAGTATATAAAAAAAAATATTTTAGATGTAATTTCTGTTTTAAATCCTGAAAATCAAAAACTTTTAAAAATGGTTGAAAATGTACCAGTATCACGACATACAATAGAAAGGCGTATTTCAACAATTAGCTTTGATATTTTCACCAATTTAAAAAACAACATTGCTAATTGTTTATCTCTTAGTCTAGCTTTAGATGAATCTACCGATATCCAAGATAAACCTCAGTTAGCCATATTTGTTCGTTATGTTACGAGTGATGTAGATGTGAAAGAAGAGTTGTTAGATCTAATTTCATTGAAGGAAACTACTCGGGGTATTGACATTAAGATTGCTCTCGATGAAACTCTACAAAAAGCTGAAATTCCACTAAACAAAATTATAAGCATTTCAACTGATGGAGCTCCTAGTATGGTGGGTTGTAAAAATGGATTAATAGGACTTTTAAAAAATGATACTAATTTCCCAGATTTTATACCTATTCATTGTATTCTACATAGAGAACACCTAACTGCTAAATATTTTAAATATGATCATGTGATGGATGTTGTTTTAAAAATTGTAAATTACATACGTAATAATAATTATAAATAAATAAAAATTAATTGTGACGACTATGTACTTAAACTTGAATTTCTATTTACTGACTTCGAAGAACGATTTCGAGACCTAAAGGCATTAAAACCCTCATTCGGATTTTTAGAAAATCCATTTTTGGTTAATGTCATTGAAAAGGGATGTCCATTATCACATCCAATCATCACAAATAAAGCGGATCTCGAAATAGAACTCTTGGAGTTATTAGAAGATGAAGGTCTTAAGCAGTTTATAAACAATTGTCCCTCTATATTAGAATTTTGGAAGCATATTTCTATATTAAAATACCCAAATATTAAAAACTGTGCGGTAAAATTGATATCAATTTTTGGAACGACGTATTCATGTGAATCACTTTATTCAACAATGAAAATAATTAAATCAAAATATCGTTCAAATTTGACTGATGATCATCTTACAGAATTACTAAGAACTGCTCTTACATCAATTCAACCAGATCTTAAGAAGCTTACTAAAAAAGTAGACACGAAAAAAATACCACGCAAACAAAATTAGCTTAATGTTTAATTTTTTAATTTATTATTCATATTAATTAATTTTTTTTTGTTTGATTTAATCTATATTCTATCCACTATAATACTAAAGCCTTAAATAAATACAATAAAAACATTTTTTTATAAATGTATACAAAAAAAATTTAAATATTTTGGTTTTTGTAAATAAGACCGCGAGCCGCATACGACTGTGACGAGAGCCGCATGCGGCTCGCGAGCCGTGATTTGGCCACCCCTGTTATATAGTATGGCTACCTATATATTTAATGTAACATAAATTAAATATTTAAAATGACTAATAAATTGTGTGAGCATCAAATCAGCGAATTCAATACAACATTAGAATCTGACGAAGATAATAGTAGTGACGAGTATGGAACAACATATGATGAATGTGAAAATAATTCTTCTAATTTAACAAATACCTTACGAGAACGGTTATTAGAATCGTTAAGTTCATCAAGTAACAATAATTATAATAACGCTACAGTTAATGACCAAGGAAATAATAACATTGATGATATTGATATTAATTCATTGCTAATCGTTTTTTTTGATGACAATGTTGTTATACTACCATCAAATGATTGCTAATACTAATTGCTAATCAGGAAATACTACCATAATATCTACATTTTTTCAATGGAAATTTTGATTAAATTTTGATTTTTCTCCTTCAAAATTTAGATTATTTAGACCAAATGAGTTTATTTTCGATATTTTTAATTCTGGTCCATCAAAGGATTTTATTGAAAGCTTATCTGAATCATATCATGTTTTTTCACGGAATAGATAATCATTGATATAAAATCAATATTATTAGTTCATATTAACATGTTATCTGATGTCCATATTTAGTACATAAATTTAAAAGTAAATACGAATGAAATTAAATTTATTGACTAATTGATGCTCAATTATGTTATTTAGTATAATATAGAAAATATGTAAATATACGTCATTACTCAAATAGTAATAAGGTAATATTACTGTAAAAAACGTCATTCCTCCAAAATTGCTACAATTATACACTTAAAAATACGTCATTACTTGCGAAAGTTTTATAAAAATTATTTAAAACAATTCACTCTCTGAGTGTAACTTTTATAAAAACAATTCACTCTTCAAAGGGTTAAGTAATGTGTGAAACCATGTATATATTAATATTTATAATCATAATAGTTATGATAAATTAAAACACAAAAATACAATGTGTACACATGCATACAACAAAAGAATTCAGTCATCTGACGTTGTGGAAACTATTTGCGCTAGGACTGTGCGTTAGTTATGCATTACTTAAATAGAGGTTGTAAAAAACAGCTTATGGTAACTGTGACTATGTTGCCATCAGATTACAGTCACTTAATGGAATATTGTAAGATAGGCTTTTAATGTTATAATAATGAAAAAAAAATACTATTTTTAATAAATAAAATATAATCACTAATAAATTATAGGTTTTTATATAAAGTTATAACTGATTATTAGTTCCAATGTTCAATATGCAAGATTTACTATAATTGATTTTTAATACAGCTTACCTGAGATCTTAATGGAATATATCCTGTACAAAATTTTGATTCCGGTTTTTCTTGTAGTTTAAGGCGGACGAAAGGTAAGGTTAACCCAAAAAATCTATCACCATTTCCATTTGAAGGGATTAAGTCTTCAGCACCTAACATTTTATTGATTAATGATATAAGATGACTATGGCATTCATCAGTACTCAAACCAGTGACTTTGAAATGTTTATCATGGTCCATAATTTCAAACCTGATATGAAAAAAAAACATTTGAACTTAATCTTCATATAAAAATTATTATACTGACCTTGGCGTTGAACCAGCTCTGATTACTTTGCAATGATAAGTACATTTAGAAAAAATATTTCTGAAATGAGCATAAGTTCTAGTAGCATAATATCCACCTGGATATATGGCACAGTCTGAATAATAAAACGGTGTATCATAGATAATCTAAAAAAAAAACAGTATATTTTTATTAGATGGAAATTAAATATTATTTTATTCCGAAAAGAAAGTATAACATAGTTTCATAAAATTAAATATTTAAACTGACTTGTCCAAAGTTATAAACCGTGACATTTCCATTAGCTATAGGTTCTTGAATTTCTACGGCATACTTTTTACGTTTAGTAGCTGGACGCTTTTTTTTATTCTCAATTATTTGTTTGTTTGCATCTTTAAAAACGTCTTTATTGTCTTTAAAGTCAATAATTTTAACTAAAAAGTAAGTAGAAATATACATTTAAAAATTATGGTTACATATTTTATTGTTGATCAAATAATACAAGCCTACATTTATGTGGTTCAGAATCCTTGTAGGTACAAGATGGTAATAACCAACTGCGTTTTTAAAAACATTATCAAACATTTAATTAAATTTTATGAAAGCAAAAATGTACATACCGTTGGTATTACTCTTTTTTCGGGGAGTAGATTTTTTTGTAGCAGGAGTAGTGTCTATTTGTACCGGTAAACCTGAAAGATTAAAATTATTATTTTAAAATACAAAAAAAAAAATTATGTAAAAGGTAGTACAAATTTGAATTAACTATTGAATATACTTCAGGTCAAATAACTGATATCTTACAATAATATAAAATAATAAAGATACTTTGATATTTTCAATTAAATTGATTTAAATCATAAAATGTAAATTACATAAAAGGAAAAAAATATCATTCAGACCAACATTCAAATAATGAATTTAGATTAAAGTACACACATTTAACATTATTTAACAACAATATTTAGGAACATAAATGAGTAAATTCATATTAAAAATACTTATTGTATTTACCTGAAGGTGATTCAAATTGTTTTAATTTTTTTGTTAAAAACTTGCATTCCTCTCGTACAATTAATAGTTTTTCTTGTGTGCTAGCTATCTCATCACATACAGCAGCGTTTACCTTGAAAAAAATGTTGAAAGTCATAAATAAACGAATAACGTACCTTAAGACGGGTTAAAATAATATTGTTACGTACAGTACAAAGGAAACGTTTATCGTACACAAGTATGACAAACGTGCATATCGACTGATGTGTATTGAAAACCGGTCGACACACAGTGTAGTACTTACGAAAACGTTATCTGTAATGATCCTCTCAATCTCTTTGCACTTGGTTTTGTAGCGATGACTTCTGACAAAGCGATTATAGTTGTGTAACATCGGCTTGTTCATCATCAACGATACGTCGAAGCAGCAGCAGTAGTTTCGGCCGCCAACGGGTCGGAGAACACAAGAACGAACGAAGACGAGCGGATACAGCTGAGGACGACGGTGGTTAAAAACACCTCGGGCATAAAGTCAACGGAGTTTTCCTCGACGGTAATTCCACGTCCAAGTGGATCCGGCGCAAGCGGATGTTTCGTACGAGTGACGGTAAAACGATAACGACAATACCGAGGCTCTATAATATGTTAGGTTATATAACTTTCTGAACGATAATGACGGTGTGGGACGAGTGTCGCTACATTACAACGGAAACCAGTGAATAATCGAATCATATGGATTATTTTAAAAATCATTCGGACGAATCAATCGAACGAAACATTCGTACGATAAAAATTAGTAAAAATCACGACGAAATTAACATATCACCGTAAAAAGATTCCAATGCTTTTCTTATCTCACGTTTACTTTCATTACCCGTAAAGCGTTTACTAGTAGACGAGTATAACAAGCAATTATATACAGTGGCGGCTCGTGGGTGCTGATGAAGTGAGTGCGGCGAAACGTAATAGTGTCCTGTACCGTTTATTTTTTCATATTATTATTTGTATTATTGTCCAAATGCCAGCGTACAGTAGCGGTTTAAAACGCACGCGATTGATTAAGACACTCGCATAGTCGGCAATAATAAAATTCCTCATCTCATAACCGGGGAAACCGTAATCCGCGGGTAAACTGTTCGGATAAGTTTGGAAAAAATTATCATTGGTGTGTTTGGACGACGCGGCGTTTCGTGCGATAACGCAGACGTTCGCGCGGCCCAACATGATATACATGTGCGATATATCCAGGACCCGGGTCAAACGTTTTCTCATAACCTAGGCAAGCTTAAATTAATTTTGCCGACCCTTACATGTAAATACTACGTCAAATATTATTTTTACATAAACGAATACTGAAATATATTTAATTCCGAGTTCATTACATTTATTTATATAAAGTTAACAATTTATTAGATTAACACGTTTGTAGACAAGCAAACCACTACTTATTTGAATAAAACAAAACAGTTTTTTGATTCTTATTTTTTACGTAATGAGCAAGAAGAAAATAGTACATTATAATTAATAGATACGT